TTTATGGCGCTACCCTAAGAAACTGCGGACTGCTCAAATTTACATAAGATATCGAACACTTCCGGTGGACCAATGAGAACTCGAATAAGGTCAGACTTATCATATGAAACGCATATGGACGGTCGTACTCAATTTCGAGAGGTCATCTCGTAACGGTATTCAGTGTGAAAGAGTCCCTTGGACATGGCACTAGTCCTATGTGCTCCCATGACACTGTTATCGATTCTACGCTGGATTTAGGGGAATCTGCATTTGGCGAGAGTCGCGTGGTACCGATCGGGCAACAACCCCCAACAGCCCTAGTTCCATCGTCACTCTCGCGTCATCAGTCATCCCCGAAGAAGCTCTGACACTAGAGGGGGGAGGTCGAGGAGGGGAGCGGCGCACCGACTAGGGGTAGGAAGGTGGAAAGCGAAGAGAAAGATTCCGAGATGCACCGCGTTCGCCATGAAAAATCGATCCTGAATCCTGAGAAAAGTGGAGGCGGGGAGGGATAGAAAAAAAAGGGATGCCCTATCGCTACAGGGTGGCGAGAAGAACAAGTTCGTTTCATCGAGTAATTAAATGCCCTTGGCAAACAGTCTGAGGGGCGAGGGTGGGCGACCCTTTGGCGTAGGATTGGCAAAAAGAAAATCTTGTGCGGTTTCACGGGAAAAATCACGCCGAAAGTTCGATTTCTCGCGCATAAAAAGAAACAGCGGTGGGTATAATAATAATAATAAAAAAAAGGGGGGGGGATTTCTTGCAGGCACATTGCAATATCATTTATTTACGCAACGACGAATCGCGCCACACGGAATCTATGTGATAACAGAAATTACATATTAAGGGTAAAAGAAATTTGTTTGCTAGAATCTGTAGAATAATTTGTAGGCATCAACACGTAGGGATGAACACGTGGGAGTATCTTATTCTTCAAGGTCTACTTAATCTTCTCTCTCTTATTTTTCGAATGAAAGTGATTCGTATTATTCCTGTAGTAAACAATACTGTACATATATGTATATTTGTATGGTTGGTACCATAGAGTTCTCTCGATAACTCTGAAGTATACCAGAAACCTTAACAAGATTCCCTTTCCTTAAATATATATATATATATCTTTTGCCCGATACGGAAGCCAAAGGAAGACCCTTATAGATATCTATATATATAGACATACACGTATGGGATACGAGGGTGGGTAGGTCATCGCGCATAAGCGTCCACGAGTTATAAGACGTTTTTATTGTGATAAACACCGACAGTAAAGATTCTCTTTTGGGTGCTTTCTATGCCAACGAGGGAAACGGGGGTGGGATGTGACATCGGCAAGGATTCGCAGCCTAACCCAGATTTTAACTGCAGACGATTTAGCACCGAATCGGTTTTCACGTAAATCCGCGACAAGTCGCACAACCCTTAGTGAGACGAACAATTCCAGGAATGGCCTGGGAATTCATCTCGTTATACATTCAAGAGATGTATTATGATGCTGGATGTTAATCCCTTGTTCGTCGAGTTCTTATTAAGAAATCAGGGTTCAAGAAAAAGTGTAAAAACGCGAAGTCGAATTACGGGGACAAGCTAGACCATCCCTCCACCTTTTGCTGAAGGGTGGAAAATTGTAACTTTGAGGAGTTGTGACGTAATTTTTCGATTCGCGGTCTGATGATTGTCGTTGATTCGTGCAGTTACGCCAATGCTCTCCGGAAGATCTGCTATTGTTTAGATACAGTTAAGGGCAGCAGAGGAACCGCCTGACCCGAGTTAGGGACGTGGTGCTCGGCTGTCACCGGGTGCCCTGGGGAAACCAAGAGTCACCTACCGATTCGCTAAGGAATCCTCGCGATTTAGTTTAAAGGGACGACACGAGGGAAAGGATAAGAGTTACCGGCCATAAGGATCTCGACCAATCAGAGCGACTAGTTCTCGAATTTGACTATTGCCAATTGATTGCTTTAAAGTCAGTCTGTCTTGGGACACCGATCGGGCTGCCTCGCGCTCCCGGACTCTTTGTTGACTCTTTCCTTTGTTTCGAATCTGCGATTCCTATACGGTCAATAAAGTTCTCGCTTCTGCAGTTTTCGCGTTGCTCTCGCAATATCCAGAAAATCCTATAGATTTTCTGCCTGTGTTTCGCAAGTGCAGTCTTGTGCTATAGTGCAGGGATCACCTGAGTGGACTTGAGTGCAGTGACTATCCTTCTGCCTGTGTTTCGCAAGTGCAGTCTTGTGCTATAGTGCAGGGATCACCTGAGTGGACTTGAGTGCAGTGACCACCCTGGATGCAGTTCTCGGCCTTCGCTGATTAGCTGGACCAGCGCCGGTGAGTAGTCACGATTCATTAATTGGTGGAGGGATTTAGATTTTGTAGCTCCGATTCTGCCGTGCATTTCCGTTGCGTTTGCTGATTTTACGCGTCCCCAAAAATCGACAGGATCCGTTAAGCTACCGTCTCTTCCGATATGCTCCGTCAGAGCTCTCGTTTTGGCGGAGTTAAGGCTGTTCCATCTTACCGGTGAAAAAAGAATTGGCTGGCGCCCGGCGGGATGCGAATATGACGTAGGTTAGTTATCGGATTTTCGTTATCGGTGTCGAGTTAAGAAAATACGTTACAGAGTATATTGTGGTTTTTACTAAATCCTTTTTTTCACTCTGTTTCTTTAAAAGACGGCTTCACAGTTCTCATGAATACATTATGTATGGATATACTAATCTTTGTCTTCGGTATACATATGGTGATAATACTGGAAGCCGCAGTCATAAATTGAAAATTCTGTCTGGATGCAAAAGATGGCGGAGACTGGTGAAGCAGGGATGGATGAGGGTGGCAAGGGAAAAAAAAGTGAGATTCAGAGACAGAAGAAAATGGAAGAGTCTGCGGAATAGAGAAGCACCTAGGTGATGGATAAGCCCATAGAAGTGGCGATGAGAAGGAAGGGTAGTTGCGCGTCCTGGGGTGCAACCCTCAAGAAAAGAGGGAAGCAGCCACTGGATGAAGGGAGGGAAGTATGGGAAAGGTAGAAAGAGGGACGATCAGGTTTCTAATTGTTACGCGCACAGTCGAATTCAAGGGAAGAACTTTGATACGGACTCTGGAAATGTATCATCCCTCACGATTACAGGGTCGTTTGCCGATAATGGGAGTAACCTCAGGTCACCCTAATCAGTTCAACATAAAAGCACCCCTCCTCCCAGATCATTACCATTAAGATTGAACAAATTTATATTTTTTCTAGGAAATAAAAAAATACGCGGACGCGTCCATACTAAAGGAATAAAAAATTTCGCGATATTAAAATATCCTTAAATTCTCGTTTACACGATAAACAAATAATCCCAAAGGTGTCAGTCAATCGGTGCAAATGACTGGATTAACATGCGGCTAACGCTCTTAGCGTTTGATCTCCGGATGCTGAGTGGGCGATGTGCCGGAAAATCGCATTTCGTTGAGATGGCAGAGCTTTGCTCCTTCGTACTCTTTGTCCTTGAAAAAGATTCCTCTTTCACTGCCACGCACGCACACGGACTCACTAGTATCCGAGAGCAGGGACGACGTCATCCTTGCAGCATCCCACGTCTTAGGTTTAGCCGCCTTCGGTGACAGTTTCAACTCGAATGGACCACCGACTCGACACAGTCTCAATGCACACAAATGAAGCGAACATCTGACTCCTTGAAGTTCCTGACGATGTCTGATCCCTCATCCATGAGGACTATTTCAGAGCACAAGATTCAAGGTAACTCCTACGAGTTCCAATCCACGTGGAATTGCCGTATTTTAGGAAGGTGATTCATCCCACATGAACCCCAAGGACGTTTATCTGACGAATCAAGGTCACTCTCGTATGTGTACACGAAAGGCTGGTACAGGCAGCGACGTGGGTGCTCGGATGAACCAGCGATTCCAGGAAGGATTCAGGGACTTCAGGACTTTAGGTTTAATAGTTCGTGGGAAATTTCGGGGTCGACTCGGGGTTAGGTTTTCATCCGGATCAGTAGAAACCTGACATCGTAGTCAGACGCAACAGCGATACGTCGGACGATTTAAATAGTGGACGTGGCGCAGTGCCTTTTCGAAGCCCCCGGGTGGGCTTTAAGGATCCATGAGCTTGAACGGGCTTTCAGGAGCGGAGCTTTAAAAATAAGTGAGAGCGGGTAAACAAGCCCGTGTTTGTTTACCCTTTCGAAAATCTCGACTAGCGGAACGACTAGCAGAGTGTGACGTAGTCACTGGGTACTTCGGTCCATGACCTACCTCCAGGCTCGTTCACGGTAAAGGACGAAGATCCGGGTGAAAAGTTGTCGGCGAGTCGATACGATAGATGCTCGAGTTTGTCGGAAGCTCGGAAGGATCTTCCGCATCCGAGGAGACGCAGATTTCCGGCGTTAACGAGAGTGCCACGATCCGTTACGTGCGTCGCAGTTTGCCGCGCCGGTAGCTACGAGAAACCCGGCGTCGTTACTTCGAGGCCAATGAACACAGGACCGAGCAATCCCTCGTATCGGATCATCCTGCTTGACTGATCTTGAGGACTCGCTAATCTCCGATCCTGTTAGCAGGCCGTTCGCCACGGAGCCAGCTCGCCGAAGACAAGAGAAGATTACTTATCTCGGGAGAATCGCGACGATAGAGAAACAAAGGAATTGTATTTGATTCTATCGTTTGAGAAGTTTCGCTTCGGGAGGAATGACGAATAGGGTATAGGCGTATTACGTGACACGGGTATAAATAAAGGAGCGGCCACAATTTGGCAGAATTCCGGTAGCTTGTTGCGTCTTCCATTCATTGCCAGAAGCTCATCATAGTCCGCTTTATGTCGGCCGACGTGGAGCTTCAAAGTCGGCGAGTAGCTTCTGTTTACAGGACGCCCGCTCGTGCCGAAGGGGTTTCGAGTCGTGTAGCTATCTATAGTCCTGTCTATATGTCCTGTCTGCGTCTGGGGCGCAGTGGTGGGAGGGGCAGGGAGGAATCACGAGACTCGACTGTATACGTTTGTTTAGCCTGTAAACACTCACGGGGTTTGCCAGGAGAAGCAACAAGTGCCCAGTGGTTGGTGCGCCTGCTGTTGCCGGTGCGACGGGGGCTGGCTCTATAGGAATACAGAAATACAGTGAAAAGAGAGAGAGAGAGAGAGAGAGAGAGAGAGAGAGAGAGAGAGAGAGAGAGAGTGACGCGCGCGCAGGGGGCAGCAGGAGGGAAGTAGATTAAGGAAGGTAGGGTGCAAGGATTGCTGGCCAGCAAAACACCGCTAAATGCACTGGTGATTGCCGGAGAAAGGGGATCTTCGCTGGGTTTCTTGGCAAAAAGCCTCGCTATTATCTCTTGGTCGTTGCTATACGAGTGCAGACTAGTGAATAAGACCTGCAAGCAGTCAGCCAAGAGGAAGAAGTCGCTCGGCCCCAACCAACAGGCGTTCAGCCACTTTGCGAGACGCAGTCGGGTGCACCCGGTGGATCCGGTGCCTTTGGGAATTCCAGAGGCCCAAATCCGATCGGTGTGATTTACGAATTAGGCTCGGATGGAAATGATCAATAGCTGCATCGCCTGTTCCTCTCTTGGCTACTTTTGCTCTTTTTCACTTTCATTACGCCAGCATGCATCTCTCTTTACTTCTGGCAATGTACCTATTTGCCTTCCCACATTGCATCACCCAGGGTGCCACACTCGGCTGGGTCTTCTCTCTCTCGGATGGCTGGCTGGCGAGTCGGGAGGCACCGAGTTAACTTTCTTCTTGATTGACGTTCGGTTATTGTCACATTTGCATAACTCGCCCTTCTCGCGCGGGCGACCTCACTGTGCCATTCTTTGCAGCTTTCGTCGCGACATTGGGAAAAGAAGAGGAGGAGGAGGAGGAAGATGAGAATGAGGACGAAGCTGTGAAGGTGAAGTAGGTGTGGGTGGGGGTGGGTGGTCGGAACGCAGAAGAAGAAGAAGAAGAATGCGGGGTCGCTCGTCGAGCCGCGTGTCAAATCGAATTTGCCTCATTTGCCCGGAGCAGCGACTTGCCAGCCGGAGAATCTATTAGAATAATTTTTATGAATCTAATTTTAAATTCCGGCGAACGAAGTTACTTTACTGTCACGCTGTCAGCAGCTCTTTATTAAGTGGCCTGCCCCTTCGCTCCCGACACAGCGTGGGATTGGAAAAGAATAATTTAAATAATTTTCTGTCTAATTTCCCTCCGAAGAGTCCCTCCCACCCCCACCCCATACGCGTCGCTCATCCTTCGCGGTTTAGTATCTTCCAAGTAGGTGGAATCTGAATGAAAAATTTTGTTCCATCTTGAAAAATAATTCCACGGGATATGACGCATTCGTCATCGTGCGTATCCGTGTACGCGAATGCAATAATAATAATACAGAGAGAGAGAGAGAGAGAGAGAGATCAATGTAAAACCTTGACACAGTCGTCAGGCTGAAAGTGGATAAGTAGTAAAAGCATTAAGAATCTGGCTGTAGTCAGACGCGCAGAATCAATTGGTCTAATCTGGGGGCGATCGAAGCCAGATTATCGCCGCCTGGGAGAATCATCGAGGCAAGAAAATGACGATTCGGCTGTGCAGGATGGGAGGCTCGATTCCTCGTGTCAAACGGGGTAACAGGGGTCAATTTAGCTCGTCTCGCGTCATACGTTTCTACCGTGCGCGTACGTTGGTACGTGTGTACTCGATACTGCGCCTCCGTCTGACTCTGCACAGATTCATCTACCAAGACTGACGTCCGTTTACTTATCCTTATCGGCATCCTTGAACTCTAAAAAATTGAAAATCAATGATAATAAACTCGAAAGACCAGCACGTGGAATATTTAAAAACTATCAAAACGTCTCGAGCTAGACGATCAGCTCGGATCATCAGGGATCAATTGTAATGTTTTTAAATTTCATAGTAAAAATAACGGAGGTTCGCGCACGATTACGTCGACGTTACGAAACTCTTATCACTGATTGCGCAGCGGCCGTCAACATTATCGATAAGTCGAGCTGTGTATATAGGTGAAAGAATCCGAAGTGCGTGGACGGCGTGAAGTGAAGAAAAAGAAAGAAAGAAAGAAAAAAAGAGAAAAAAGAATCGGGAGGTCGAGTGAGCAAAAGAAATGAAAAGCAGCCTCCTGATAAGACCGGTATAATAAGCGGGCCGTGGAATTCCACAGGCACAGATGTAGTACCTCGGCGGCCTATATTCCCATCTATTTTAGAACCGACGCAAGACGCACACGATCACCCGCGGGACGCAGCGGCGGCGGCGGCTGCGGCTGCGTCGGAGGCGCGATTACGATTTACTGGATGTCCTCGTTAAAAACGCACCGAGTGGCCACGCGGACCGTAACGCGTAAACCTGACATTAGTCCGCGATCAGATCCTGAAACGCGACACTCGCGAAGATTCGAAAATACTTTTTGCCAGTTTTCACATTTTTACAGCAAGAGAGTCCCGTACCAACCCACCAAGATCTATACAGGGATATATATATATATATATATATATATATATATATATATATATATATATATATATATATATATATATATATATATATATATATATATATATATCAATCCCAAAAGAATTTTGAAAAGAAACAGTCGCCGCGCGATTCCCTACGCGGAAGGACGGAAGAACGTAGCGCGTCTGTCTCTCTCGTGTCGGAATAATAATTCGAAATGGGCAGCAGCGCGATTCTCGCACGCCTCTTAAAGCGACGAGCCAATTGGCTGCGGACTCATTAGCTGGCGTAAATAAGCGACGGGCGTCGCATAGTAATTATTAATACGGTCGTAAATTATTCCCTCGAAATGTCAAGCACGCGCGTCGTTGCGTCACGGCGTCTCCATAAGGTCGATCTGGCATTCCTTCCTCTCGATAAAAAAATCCATCTTTATATTTTTCCCTAATTTTCCGATTTTTTTTTTGTTCTCTTGTTCCGACATTGCCAACCTTTCCCAATAAAATTACTTCCCCCCCCCCCC